GGCCAAAACCAACAGACATGAGAAACTGCCACCAGATATCGGCAGCGGCGGTCATGGCGGTGTAAAATCGAGATATTCTGATAGGTAATTGGACGAGGAATCGTTCCGTGACCCATATGCTATTGCACGTGGACGTGCTACGCGCGCACGAGAAGTCGGGTTGCATTTGTTCATTTCGTGTTCCAGACCTTGATGTGTGCGGACGTGCTTCGTTGCGGCGAATGCGACGCATCTCATCTGGATCGAACGAAACTCAGTGATCTAGGCAGGGTTTATATTAGGGAGCCAACCACATATTTCTCCAGGTAAATTCTTTCCTCTCGTTGCATGTATTAAGTAAGTGTAGATTGTCACTTTTTCTTGTGAAATAGCTAAATTTGACGTACCTTAACCAAACCAGTTCATTTCGGGGTTCAGAGGGGAGATGAAACAAGTCAAGGACGCGAGATGGCTTCTCTGAAAGATGAAACTCAGAAACTGAGACGGGAAAACTCTGAGCTTCGAGGAATGGTAAAACATCTTGAGGCTGCTGTCGATGAGACGGAGCAATACTCGCGCAAGTCTTTCCTCATTCTGAATGCAGATGACATCCCTTGGACTTGGTCATCCCCATATTCCAGAGTTTTTCACTTTAGCTTCACAAACCATTGCATGCCTTATGGCGCTAGGTATGTAAAGCTTACTGCATCGTTTATCCGCTCACCTGTTACGATTCGTACCTCGAGATGAGAGCAGCCATGACTTTTCGGTACAACAGAGTGGTACGAAACGCCACTACGCAGAAAGATCGAAGAAAATAGTCCTTGCAACACGATCATCGTTTACCCACGTTTTTTTTGTAATATTCCAACCAAAAAAATTTGGAGGTGGCCAAGCAAGCATTGGGGGCCCAACTCAACATGGGGGGGGGGGGGGCAGGCACCCTCACAAAAGAATGCAAGTCGACACCCGTGGCGTGACCGGACAAGAGATGGGGAAAACACATCCTACGTGCAGATGTCATGGCTGTCGAAGAGCAGGGCACATTCAGAAAAAAATATGACGTAGGCATGTGCATGGCTAGCATTTTTGGGCGATGTACGCACGTCCATCTCGGTAAATAAAACAAAAACAAACACGCCAGTGTTAGAATTTAAAGCGGTTGCTCATCCTTTCCCTCATCTTTCGACCGTCACGAGTCATATAGCGTTGTGCGATGGTGCCGCTCGCTAGAAAGCAGTGATGTTTAACCTGAAGGCCGTGCACCATAACGGAACACTCCCACGTAGGCTACATCGAACTGCACTAACCACACACGCGGCGAAACGCGGCCAGAGGTACGGATTCGATTTCCAGCGGTGCCCGCCCTTTCTGCCAGGGTGAGAGGCAGGCGACCGCCACACAGGCCTCAGCAGCTAAGTACATAGTAAGCCCAAATAACGACGAACAAGCTGGTTTGAAACGGGCTATGTGTGAAAATCGACGGCAGAACGAACAGCATGTGCGGAATACACTGAGTGTAGGACACAAGAGTGTGTAAATCACCAGGCGACATGGTTTGTACACCTCACAGACTTGATCAATGCAGCAAAGGGCCCCAAAACATTCCTCCAAACCGCAGCTCTGTCGGATTGTTGCAACGTCTGCTATAGGCACACCGCAATGATGAGTCGGCACATTTCACACAAAATGAACGCCATGGAGATTGTGAGTCACGCTTCCGGTGAGTCATGGCGACTGTGAGTCATGCTCCTAATGAGTCATGGCGACTGAGTCCTGTGAGTCATGCTTCCGACGAGTGGTGCGACATGTCGCGAGGCATTCTTGAATCGGCTTATTCACAGGGGCACAGCCAAGAGTAATTGCATTTTTCGTCATTCACAATCGATGGTTCTTGACAGAAAGTTAAAACTGGCGTGATGCGTCGGTACCGAGCTCAACCCCTTTCCCTTGAGGAAACCTTTGCTGCGCCCAAGGGCGTAGTTTCATTAAATTAGATGTGGGGGGGGGGGGGGGTGCTGAAACAATGAAAAATGCCCCGACGTAATCTCAAAGTGTACGCAAAAAATAGGTTTCCTCAAGAATTGACCTACTGTATTCGTAACAAAAAAAAAAAACACAGTTGGGGGGAACTGGAGCCCAAATTGACGGGAAGGGGGGCTTCAGCCCTCCCCCAACCAAACATAGACTAACACTCCATGGGCTGGCACCTCCTGCATATGCGTAGCATGCCCACGTGAAAACCACACTCGTTTTCGTCCACTCTCATCCTTCCCAGGATTCGCACTAAATCTGAGTGTAAAATCAGCTGAACATCTAGCAATATGTGGACAGCATTTGCAGCTGACGTGCAATTACAGTTGGTGATGCGGCAACAAGCGATTACATATTGACATTATAATCAAGCAGGGGCTTCGAAAACAGAGGGGGGCTGCTCGCCGGTATTCTGGCTGATAGTGCCGCGGCTTACGTTAATACCTAACAAGATATCACTGTGACCCCGTCCCCGTCACATGCAACGGCGACCTCCATAGCAATTTGAGGAGACTGGGTGCCAGCAACGTGAATTTGGGACAAAGTCCTTGCCACGGCGAGAGCAAGGTTCGTCCTTCTTAAGCACACGCTTGGAATTACTCGAGGCACACCAACCCCGTATTAAGAGCGATTCGATGTCAGCGGATGACATTCACTTGTGGCACTTGCGTCCCATAGTACAGTCACTTTATTAGCGGGCGTCCCGCATCGTCGCAATGGCCTCCCCGCGTCAGCCTGCCTTTGGCCAGTTGCCAACGGGCCGTCCAGCGACGCGGTCACGAAGCGCTGTTACGACATCCGTGCTACTAATATGCATACCAACTCACTCATGCACTCAAAAGCTACTGCTTCGCCAGGAAACGGGATATTAGTATGGCTCGGGCTGAAGGGCCTCTTGGGCGAAAGCAAATCGGATAGACCCTGGACTGGCTGTGCCTCCAGCAGGGGCACAGGCAAGCAGCGAAGGAGACCCTGCTTAACGAGACAGGGAGAATGATGGGCGTGGGCACAGCTCAATGCATCGCCGCTGCTGATGCTGTCCACTGCACGGCAGTGCAGCATCTGTCAGGTTAGTGGATGACAGGAGCACGTATAAGAAAGGCTCGTATGGCCTGTTCGGGCAAAGTTCGTGTGCTTAACGTACGTCAGATGAGACAGTGGTAATAGCCTGATTCCTCGGAGAAGAACTAGGAAAATGGACACATAAAGACGTCTCTATTTCCATTCTCCCGGTTCCTCTCCGAGGAACATGGTTATTACTATTGTCGCATTTTTGTGCATAGTGTTCCTCGCTATTGCACGTAACAACTGACGTAATGCCCGTTAGAATGAAAGACGTAGCGTAATATTCCATACGTCAAAAGTGATGACGTAAAAAATTCGTAGAAGATAGAGTTGGTATGGTAAAATGCTTGGCGGGTAGGAGTTCGTATGGAAAAAGGCCATACGCGTTTGTTCGCACGGAAACGTTCGTTCTCAAATGTTCGTCAGGAGTGCATTCCGTTTGACAAAGGTACGTTAGCAAAAGGTGGCCTGCCAATTTAGGATGCACGTACGCATAGTTCGAATGGATTATTTGTGGAGTATCAAGTCCTTTTTAAAAGGACTTTATCAAAACAAAAGTACATAGTGACAAAAGTACGTATGCAGAAGTTCGTGTGCCAATGCGTCATGTAAATACACGCTCGTATGCAAATGTTCCTCAGGAATAAAGCCGTTCGGCAAAAGATGTGCGCAAAAGAGCACATGCGGATGTGTATTGCAAGCTTTAGAATGAGACCCACCATACTTAACCTATGTGAATGGTCACTGCGGAGGCCACCACATCCCGCCGACCGGGGTGGGCAAGGGGTAGGGAATAACAGTGGACAGTGGCAAAAGCACAGGCCAGGGCAAATATTGTCCCGAGCCTAACTCTTCA